TTCTCCCCCTTCCCTAGCCCCTGGCAACCACCATTCTACTTTCTATGATTTTGACTACTCTAAGTACCCGCATGTAAGTAGAATCATACAGTATTTGCCTTTTTGCGACTGGCTTATTTCACTTAGCACAGTGGTTTCCAAGTTCATCCATGTTGTAGCAGATGTCAGAATTTCCTTTCTTTTTAAAGCTGAATAACATTCTATTGTATGTATTTATCACATTTTACTTATCCATTCATCTGTCAATGGATACTTGGATTGCTTTCACTTTTTAGCTATTGTGAATAATGCTGCTATTAATATGGGTATACAAATATTTCTTTCAGATCTAGCCTTCAAATATTTCTTTTTATTATATACCCAGAAATGTAGTTGTCAGATTATATAGTAATTCTGTATTTAATTCTTTTGAGGAACCACTATACTGTTTTCCACAGCAGCTGTATCATTTTATATTCTAGTCAACAGTGTGCAAGGATTCCAATTTCTCTACATCCTCACCAATACTTGTTATTTTATAATTTTTTTTGATAGTAGCCATCCTAATAGGCATAAGGTGGTATCTCAATGTAGTTTTGATTTGCATTTCCCTAATGATGATGTTGAACATCTTTTCATGTGCATATTGGCCAGAAATGTGTGTTGAAGTCTTTGACCATTTTTGAATCAGTTTGTTTTTTCTTTGCTGTTGAGTTTTAGTTCTCTCTATACTGTAGATATTAATTCCTTATCAGATATAGTATTTACAAATGTTTTCTCCCATTCTGTGGGTTGGCTTTTCACTCTGTTGATACTGTCTTTTGAAGCACAAAAATTTGTCTTGAAGTCCAATTCATCCATATTTTCTTTTGTTGCCTGTGCCTTTTGTGTCATATACAAGAAATCACTGCCAAATCCAATGCTGTGAAGTTTTTGCCCTGTTTTTACCTAAGAGTTTTATTATTTTAGGTCTTACACTTAGGCGACAGATCCATTTCGATTTAATTTTTTCATATGGCGTCAGGTAAGGGTCTAACTTAATTCTTTTGCATGTGGTTATCCGTGCACCATTTCCCCACCATCATTTGTCAAAAAAGACTTTTTCCCACTGAATGGTCTTAGCACCCTTATTGAAAATAATTTGACCGTATATATGAGGGGTTATTTCTGGACAGAATGCATGACATTTTATAGGATACGGAGATAAATCAGAGTACAGACTGTCCTAACACACTAGAATTAGTCATAGGCAGATTATTAGAATGGAGTTGGATCTCATTTTTGTTTTAAAGAATAAGGAGAGAGAAAATTGAATTTAGAGGAAGTAAAATAGCTGACTTACAAAGAGTTCATGTCAGAAAGGTAGACGTCTAGACCCCTTTCCAGCCCTGGTTCATCTAGTTCACATCCTTGTTTTTATATAGGAAGGAAAAGAGGAATAGTTTTACTCTTGAGGTAAGAACTACCAAAAAATAGACATTATAGAAGGAACACTTCAACTCAGTGAAGGAAGAACTTCTAACATCCAGCATAGATAAATTTGGGAAGAAACGAACTCTCTATAAGTACAAACATTCAAACAGAAGTTTTGTTTCCTTTCTATCTCTCAGACCTTATTCATATTAAAGAAAAAGACACCTTAAAAAAACAGACTGTTTCTAACACTTCAAGGAAGTAAGCTAAAGGGTGTGGCTGCAGTGAAAAATTCCACACATTGAATCCCCAGAACAAATTAAATGGAATCAATGGGTAGCAAGTACTCACTTGTGCTAGTGTGAGCATAAGGGTATGTGAAATCCAAACTGGGCAGATAAGAAGAAACTTAATTTTAAGGAGAAAGGGAATTAATTTTTATTGAATGTTTACTATGTAGTAGGCATTTTAACATATTTTAGCTTATTCAATTTCAAGAATGTAAAAAACACCAAGAGAAATGAGCACATAACCTAGAGGCTTTGGTATTGCATGTTATTTCTAAGAATTACAAAAATTTTAAACTTTGAACTTTTCTTCTGCTTTATAGACAACTTACAGTGTCAATAAACAATTTCTAGGTAATTTTTTTGTGTCAGAATTGTACTGGGTGCTCGGAAGACACAGGTGAACAAGATCTGGTTAGGACCACATCATGGGGCTGATGCACTCTTTTTTTTCCTCTTAAAAAAATTTTTTTTTTTGGATACATTCTTTTTGACTGGGAGCTCATCAACAGCCTAGGTCTATAAAAGATTACCAACCACTGAGTCTCTGTCCTTGAAGAAATCAGGTATATGGGAAAAAAGGAGCCTCAGAAAAAAAGTCAGCAGATCTGACCATACCTCTCCCTTACTTATGAATATTCAGTAATTCCCCATTAACTACAGGATAAAACCTGTTTTTTTGAATGGCACACATGGCCCTTTATGATTTGTTCCCTTTGTGATTTACCAGCATATCTACTTGGTTTAAGTAGACTTATCTCTAAGTTACTTTTCTTGTTCTGATTTAATTTACTCACCAAACAAACTTTTCATCCAATATGATTTTTGGACTAGGTTTTCCTATCACCTAGGAAAAGAACAGAATATGAATACTGATCCACTGGGCAATTATATTTCTCATTGCATATGATGAAATAAGATTATTGCTGTAAGTTCTTTTCACCTGAGTTTGGATAAAATTGAGTTCCCAGAACTTCTGAACTGGAAGGCTGAATTTGGAGACTTAACCACAATCATTAGGTATTCTGTGCAAGTATCAGATATAAGTCCTTAGTGTGTTTATGCAGAGCAATCAGATATTTACCATTTAATTTCTCATTAAGCTATTGGTGATTCAATGGAAAGAACACAGGACCGGTATTCCAGGCCTGCCTGTGACTTATTGTACTACCCTGGTTACTAATTCTCTTATGCCCTAAGTTTCCTCATATTTCATATAGAAATACTTGCTTTAAAGGTGCTTTATTGTGATGATAAACAAGAATGCAGTTGCCAAATTTTCATTTCAACAAGTATGTAGGCATTCTAAGGAATACAAATGTAAGTATTTGTGCTCAAGTTTATAATCTATTGGCATCAGATTTATAAAAGTAATATATAGAGATTCAGAGAATGGAGTGATCATATTCAGTAGAGTTGGGGTAGGTAATCAGGATGATTTCATAAAGGAGGTAGGAGTTGAGCTGAATCTTGAGGAATAGGAAAGGTGGCAAAAGACAATTATCTGGAAGAGAGAAGAGCAGAGCAGCACTGGGATTCTCAGTCTGGCCTCAGTCTTTGTTTCCTGACTCATGGTCTTCTGCACACTCAAGACAAAATGATACTCTTTGAATCACAGAAATGTGTCTCACATAGCGGGCAAGCCTCCATGGTCCAGCTTCTACCTCTTCCATTTAAGCTTCACTCAAGTAGAATTTATCATGCTTGCCTCTGTATCAGCCCAGTCTTTGTATGACCTACTGCTTTTATTGCAGCTCAGTAGAACCACCTTACTTGCTTAATGGTGAACTTTTTGGAGACAGGAAGCTTGTTTGTCTTGGTAACTAACTCAATGCTTTGTTCTTATTAAGTAATCAGGAAATTTTATTCAATTGAATTTGCTCCAAGGACAATGATATAATTCACTAAAGTGGACATGTTAGTATCATTTTAAAGGTCTCGTCAGGCTTTAAATTTGGGTCTTGCTTCTTCATACATCATCTCTGTGAAGCAGGTTTGTTGCCTTTAAAACCTTACAGATGAAGAAACTCAGGGGGTGAATTTGTCCAAAGTCACCTAGCTGATAAGTGCTGAAGCCAGGCACGGTTCTTTTGACTTGCAATCAATTACTCTATGCAGTATACCTGGGCCCTGTGGCATGAGACAGGTGGGGGTAAAATGCACTTATTCTCAGAGCTCGTTTTCTCATTTGTAAATGAGAGCAACAGCACTGACCTCACAGGATCATTATGCGAAATGGTGAAATATGTGAAGTCCCTATTTCAATGACTAGCACTTTGTGGGCAATGCATGGTACCTTCTCACCAAGCTTCAGATTCATATGGACATAAACAGATAAGAGGTATGCCATTCTGCGGTGTAGTGAGACTTAGATGAACTCCGCAGAAGGGAGACCCTTCTTAACCTTTTACAGGGCCCAGCCTCTAAGTCATATCATGAGAAGTTTTATAAGGCACTATCTTGTAAATACTTAAAATTTAACATCTTCCCTCATTCTCACTTCCACGCTTGTTACATCCTTTTCCTGCCTTAGCATTTGACAAATGCAAGACTGTAGTTGTGTGATTTGTTCAGCTTTGAGGTTTGAGGTTGGTTGAATAATCTCCAAGGCTGGGGTCTTAAACTAACCAAACCATTAAGTCCTCTTGGATCGTGCCTTTAAATAACTATGTGGAGGAACCTACGTAAAAAGCAAGAGGGGGAGGGGCCCATGCATGGTAGCTGATTTCAAACCCACGTGAAACTAAATAAATGATTTCTGAAGTCTTTTCCCGGGAAGCATGCTCTTGAGATTTCTCTGAGCTCCTGAACTCCTGAATTGGCTGCATTTTAAAATGAAAGAGATTCCAGCTTTGGTGGGCTGGTGGAAAACGAGAATAGGCGGGAGGGATGGCCCGGAGGCCTCCTCTGTCTTGCTACCCGCTAGTGTTCGGAAACCCACGCTTGCCGCCGAGGTTCCGCGGAGGTGCGGACCGGGGTGGGTCAGTGTGCCAGGACTGAGGGTGTACGTCCAAGGCCGGGCTTCCTTCCCTGGGGGAAACGGTTTTCCGGCCGTGTTCCCGCTTGGGTGCCTCCAGCTGAGAGGTCCACAGCCCAGGAACCAGACCTGAGGGGCGCGGCCGTTCCCGCGAACCCGGCCTCCTTAGGCACGCCGGCATTGTCGCGCCGGCTCCCCAGTGGGGCCCTGGCAGGGAGCTGAACCTCGTGACCCCTGCTCGGGGGCCCCGCCCCTCCCCGCGAGCCCGTGGTGACTTCGACCCTCCCCCAACGGTTGAGAGCCCCGCCCCCTCCTCGCGGGCTAACGAGCGTCCTCGCGCGCTCGCCCATTCCCTCAGCGTGAGTGTGAGTGTGTTATCTTCCCACCTCGGCCCCCTCCCCATTGTTTCTCAGCGCCACTACAAGCCCCCGAACGTTGCCCCTCCCCCACTGGTGTTTACTACCCCCTCCCCGGTTTAACCGGTGTCCAGGAGCCTAAGAACGAAGGAAGGGGGCATCCCTAAACTCTTCCCTTTGAGTCTCCTTTCCCGGGTTTCCTCCGCGTGTATCCCCTATCCCCACTCGAGTCAGAACTCCATTCCGGGATCTGTCCCTCTCTCCCCTCCCCCCCCATCTCCCGGCTTCCCTTCTCCGCGGCCCCCTCCTCTCAACGGGTCCTCCTCTTTCTCTCCCTCTTCCCCCTCCCCATCCCTTCCCCCCCACAATGCAGTTCGCGGCGCGGCGGACATGGCGGTGGAGTCCTGAGCTCGTCGTGTCCCGGCCTCCAGCGGCGGCGGCGGTGACGGCGGCAGCGGGAGGCGGAGGGGGAGCGGGAGCCACTGAGATGAGGAGGCGCCGCGCGCGCCTGTAGCTCGTGGGCCTCGCAGGTACGGAGGTTCTGGCCGCGGCGCAGCACCCAGCGCTGAGGGGGTGTGCTCGGGAAAGGCCGGGCGGCCCCCTGTTCGCTCTCCTCAGGTGTTGCGCTTCGCAGGTGTCGGGGGCCCGGCCCGAGCGCGTGTCAGCTGCCCACTTGGGGCCTGACACTTCTTTCTTTTGCCGGAATGGGCTTTCGGGTGTCCCAGGGGAAGGCAGAGATAAAGGAGGTAGGGGCGGCGGCCTGGGCGGCCTGAGGAGGGCATCGGGGCGCTTTGGGGCCGAACTTCAAGGAGAGGCTGGGTCTCTCGGCCCCGGTTCGAAACCTGTAGACCCAGGCGGTGGATTTTGAGTTAACGGGATAGGAGTGAGCATTCTCTGGGTACGATCCCCTGTCATGTGTGCCTTTTCTTTCACCCCTGCTTAAATACAGACGTACGTATATAAATAAACACACACGCATATAAAACATAATAAATATTTATTCCAGGCTCGTCCTAGTCGGGAGGAGAGAAGGCAGAGGTGTCTTAGGGTTTCGTTTCTTGCTCGCCCGCCTTCTCTCTCCCCCGCCCCCTGGTCGAATGGTGGTAATGAATGCTTTTGACGTGGGAAACTGTGAAATTCGTATTTGTAAACAGACAGCACTCGCCGAGTGTATTTTTCGCCTCCGCGAGAGGTTTCAGGTCCTTTTGGTATCCGGATTGCAAAAGAGTGAGATATTTAGACCTGAAAGAAGCACATCACCAGGATTTCTAGTAATACCTGAATGGGATGAATTACTGTTATTTTGACAACGTTGATTAAACATTTTCATTTCAGAAGATTACCAGATTTTTAACTGGATGAATTTTGTACCTTACGCGAGATCTTAGTTTCGTTATACCATGTTTCTTCGTTTTGATATATTTTTGATACAAAAGTAGTTCCTTACACGTTTGACGTTCTACTCCCTTTTGTGATCTCTTTAGTGTCCAGAAACGCAATTCGAATTGTGTATTGTTGGCATGCATTTAGTAATTAGCTGGAGTGGATCAGATTACCTTTTGTTTCCAAAGATCGCCCCCCCCCAAGTCTTGTAGTAGCGAAATGTGTAACACTTGGTGAAACAGAAGATATCCTGTTTCTGTTTTTAAGTAATGAGAACTATTAGCTAATAAAATTGGATAATTCCAACTGGATATGATAATTTAGAGAGAATGCCATACCAAGGTGGTGAATTGTGGGATGGTTTAAAAAAAAAGTTTTTTTTTTGTTGTTGTTGCTATCAGTCCCCATGTTCTGTGTATGAGAAAAATGTACGCTGAAATTTTCTTTAGGCTCACAATACTTGTATGTCTCCTTAGAAGTTGCTGCACTACATTGCATGCTAGGTACTGATTAGTCACAACTTGTAAAATTATGAAATATTGATTCATTTAGAAAACTGCCCAAGATAATTAATGAATTCATTAGTGTCCTGTAATCCTTTTGTAAACAAATTTTAAAGAGTGCTTTGGGGAAGATAAGAATTTAGTTGTGCTTTAAAAAGATAATATTTAATACAAACGAAAGTTGCTTTAAAAAAGAGCTCTTTTAGATAAATTTTCCTGCTGTTTGCAATTTTTCATTTGACTTGTGTGGAAAAAGAAAAAATAAAGCTTCCTTGAAATAATACAGAAGCGGAAGTGAAAGTTATTGACATTTAATGTTTTAGGTCTGCCAAATATCTAAATACGAAAAGGAAATTAAAGTCTTTTCATTGTCCTAGGTCAAGTTGTTAGAAATACAGATAAACTAACAAGATGTTACCATGCATATAAATTTAATTTGGTATTTTAAATCCTAAATCACACCTAGAATTACATTTATTTTTAGTTAATTTAGCTAAAACAGTATAGTGTCAAGATTATAATTTTAGACCTTTTTTAACAAATTGAAGTGTAGTCACTTTACAGTGTGTCAATTTCTGGTGTACAATATTTTGTTTCAGTCATACATGTTAGACTTTTTAAAATAAAAATTTATAATTATAATGATAAATATCTCTGATTAATGAAAAGCTGCTAAAAGAGAATTTTCATTAGTTCTGAATAGAATCATTTTAGTAAGAGTAAATAATTGAAAAGCTTTTTTTTGACCTCAAAGTTAACCTTGACATACATAATAAGCACCATTGAGTATGTTGTATTCTTTATAGTATGTCAAATCAGGATCTGTGGGTAGAGAAAGGTGTTTGAATTTATTTTCTGCGGAAAGTTTCTGGTTTCAGAGAAACTGTAAGCAAGATCTACCTGTAAATGCTGATGCCAGTAAGTTTTGTTTATCCTTAAAAAAAAAAGACCATTTTTATATAAGGAAATTCAGTGAGGTGTGTAACTTTTAAAGTAAGCTACAGATGCTTGAATTCATAATGTTATAAAATTCAGTTAATCATTACTGCAGATAGAAATGTGTTCTAAAAAAGAACAGTTTTAGAAGACCTGAAACAGGCAAGGGAAAGGGACACTGTAGCTGAAAGCAGGATATGTAGACTTTTTTCTTCTTAATATTAGGGGAATTAGGATTGTTTATACCGAACTAAGTGAATTAGAATTGTTTACACGAAACTGAATTTTAATTCTAGAATCCTAGATAATTGAGTAATTTTGGGGAAATGTTAAAAAACCAGCATAATGTCCCCAAATGTTTCTTGCAAATCCAAAAAGAAAAGTATATAAATGCAAAGATGAACACTTTAGATTTTTTTTCCCCTTAAGTGAGAGATTTTGTGATGTATTATGGATTCCAAATTGTTTTCAAATCACATTATCTCACTGGATGTCTGTAATTATCCTGTGAATTAAAGGGAGAGAGAAAAGGGAACTAACATTTATTTGAGTGCCTGTTCTGTTCCAGGCCTAGTGCTAAGCATGTTTATGTATTTTTGTCACTCGTTCAATGTAACAACCCTATGAAACCTGTTTCATAGATGAGGAAATCTCTGAGGTTAAGTAGTTCGCAGACAATCTTGGAGTTAGGAAGATTCAGAGCAGTTCCGTATGTTCTTCCTATTATAAATGCCATGTTGCTTCTCAGGTGTATCAAGTATTCTCCCAATTATATGGGAGAAACTGCCTGAGGTTGCTCATTTTTTCATCATTTAATCATTTACTTCATCAAACATTTGCATTTGTATTTTTTGCTAGACATTGCTAGCTTTTAGAGATACAAAATTATTGAGGACAATCTCTTGTTTCAGGGAACTCAATCTGCGTATAATATATTCAGATAAATTATACCACATAGACTGTGGGAGTTCAGAGGGAAGAAGCTGGCTCTTGAGGGGTGAATAGGAGTTTTCTAGGTGGAGAAGGAGACAGACCAGAGGCCATTACAAAGTAAAGGAATAACATGTGTGAAGTTGTTATGGGGTTGGTGTTTAGAGATTGTGAGAAATTCAGTGTGGTAGGAATTGAGAATTTATGGATAGTGCAGTGAGAGAAATGGTTTGAAATAGCAGTCAGTTCGTGAAGATTATTGTATACGGTAAATGAAGGCGTTTGGATTTTTATCTTGTAAAGTGAGATCACCACGTGGGATAGTGGTTGAGCTGTAGTTAAAATTAGGTTTTCTGTCTTCCATTTTAGTATTTCTTTTTCCTTGGCTTCTCTACCAACAGATATAATTCCTGTTTTCAGTGGATAGTCAAGCCATCTTTTCTGTGCCACTCTCTTCTCTCCCTGCTTACTGTATTCCAGACTGGTTTTTTTGAGGCTCCTGTGACCCAAGTCTTACTAAGATTGCCTAATTTCTTAGATTCTTTTGAGATAAAAATACCTCTGGGAGAAATCACCTTGTTGTGGTTACTTAAGGTTTTTCACTCCTAGGCTTAGGTTAGTTGACTACTTTCTAGTTTACTGCTGGAAAGCAATAGGGTATTGGTGAGTGTGGACTGGAAAGCAGAAGAAACATTCATGCAAGCTTGGTATTCAATAGTAAAGATGAGCAGAGTCCTAATCTTTATACAAAGCAGTCTGTACTTTCAAAATATTCAGTATTTCAAAATATTAGGTAAGTCACACAGTAGTCTGGTAATTTTAAATGGGTATGTGATTTACAATGATAATAAGATAACTTACTACATAGGTACTGTGTTAATTTCTTTCTAAAGATCTTAGAAGTATTAACCCAGTCCTCAGAACAACTCTTTATATTATCATTTATAGGTGAGGACAGTAGGTGCAGAAGGATTAAGTACCTTGAATAAGATCTCACAGCAGTTTGCTCCCAAGCCAGGATTTGAACTCAGGGTGTGTGAATCTAGAGTCAGAGCTCTTAACCACTATACTGTGTTACACCTCAAGTTTAGGTTGTCAAAATTTAGTGTGCAAAGAGTTAAATTCAGTATAGTCACATAGGTTGTCAGAAATATTTTGTAACTGCATTAAACATGAATTATACATGATAATGAAATTTGATTGCATTTTATCAGTCATAAACTGTAGTTTAAATAATTTAATTATTATTAAAATTTATTGGTCATTAACTGTTTAAGCTCCATTCTTGTGCTGAGTGTTAGTTTAGATCAGTGGTATTCAAACTATGTTTGGGAACCTTTTGGGGTCTCTGAGTTACAACTGTTTTCATGGTAATATTAAGAAGATAGTTACCTTTCCCTCCCTCTACTTTTCTCATCTGAAATATAGAGTGATGGATACATGTGAAAACATTATCGCTTTGATGAAATGTGTAATAGTGTATTCTTTTTTCTTTTTCCTTGAGATATGATTTACAATACAGTAAAACTCACTCTTTTAAAGTATATGATTCAGTGTACATAAGGTTATGTAACCATCACTACTATCTAATTCCAGAACATTTTCATCTTCCCAAAAGAAACCCTTTCCTATTAACAATCACTGTGCACCACCCCCTCCAAGCTTTTGGCAAGCACTAACCTACTTTCTTTCTGTGAATTTGCCAATTCTGGACATTCGTCTAAATGGATATTTAATTTCCTTTTTTTTTAAATTAAAAAATAGTGGCAAGATACACA